TAATTAGGAACCCACAAACTGTTAATTCACTTTACAGTATATTCTTTGAAGCGCTTTGAGACGTCTCGAAAACATGATAAGGCACCATATCAAATGCAAGGATTATTATTATTAAATATTCAGTTCCCTTTTGTAAGTTATTAATGGATCTGCTTCCCCCACCCTTTCAGGCAGTGCATTCCAGATGGTAACAACTCGCTGCTTAAAAAAATTCTCATCTCCCCTCTGATTCTTTCGTCAATTATCTTAAATCTGTGTCCTCTGGTTACCAACTCACCCTCCAGTGTAAACCATTTCTCCTTATTTACTCTATCAAAACCACTCATAATTTTGAACACCTCTATTAAATCTCCCCTTAACCCTCTCTGCTCAAGGAGAACAATCCCATTATCTCTGGTCTCTCTAGAGTATCAGACTAAACTCTCCAAGGTAAATAGAGGCATGTGGAGTAAGGAAACTTGCACAGTGTTTCGCCCTGCTGGGAATTGAACACAGGTCTGTCACTTGCGAGGCGAGTGCTCTAACCACTGAGCTACAGGACTCCGCAATAGACTTGAAAAGGAAACATTTGCAAGACTACGGGAAAGACTGGGGAAGTGGGACTAATTGGATAGCTCTTTCATAAACCTGACACAGACATGATGGGCTGAATGGTCTCCTTCTGTGCTGTAAGATTCTATAATTCTAGTGCAGTGTTGGGGATGTGCTGCATTGTTGGAGGTGCTGTCTTCATATGAGATGTTAAACCAAGGTCTTGGATACCTACACTATGGATGACAAGATTTGAAAAAAGAAGGAAGCTTCTCCTGGACAATCTCACAACTGAAATTGATCATTCACTTCATGGCTTTTTGTAGGCAAAATGCACTTTATGGTAAAATCTTGCAGAATGCTTTGAATTGATTTGCTGGAATAGAAAGGTGCTATATCAAATGCAAGGATTATTATTATTGCAGTATTCACTGGTAGAATGTCAATCTTGTGCTAGTGGCTTTGATTGAGAAGGGAAGGGGAGGTGAGGAGGAAGAAAAAGGAAAGCAAATCCACTTTTACGTATCCAGGGTTATGTGGCCTTGTGAGTATTTGCATGAAAACAGCGATGGCATTATACAAATCTTTTCTTTGCGGTCATCTCTGTATTTTAAGCTCTGTTAAACTATAAATTTATCTCTCACATTCGTTTATTGCCAACATTTTCTCTGAAAAAAGGGCTTGCTTTTAATCAGGATTTTATTGCATTCCACAGCTTTGAGAACTTAAAAAAGGCTATCCTTTTGTTTTGATGCTTTTTTTCAGTCCTCTGCGGAAGGCTTGTGTTAGGATATGATTTCATAGCGCTGGTACCTTACCCAACTGATCAGTTTTGACATGTAAATCTAGACAATGAGTATTAGCCAGCTGTTTGTCTGGGGTAGCACCGCAGCAATACAAAATTACAATTTGTATAGCGCCTTTCATGTTGGGAGGATGTCCCAAGGCGCTGGACAGTCCGGGATTTGGACCCGAACTGGGGGTCGGGATCGGGGAGGGTGGCGGGGAGGAGGGTGGCTGAAGGTTCGGTTGAAGAGGAGGGTTTTGAGGCGTGCCTTGATGGAGGCAAGGGAGGGAGTGAAGCAAAGGGAATGTGGGATGGAGTTCCAAAGGGTGGGTGCAGAAAGGCTGAAGGCCCGACCACCGATGGTGGGCTGGGCAGAGGACATAGCCTGCTGAGAGGAGGGATCAGCAAGTCACAGGGGTAGGAAGGAGTAAGGGCGTGCAAGACCTTGAGGATGAGGATTTTGAACTCTTTCCCTGGGGGATGGAGCCAGTGGAGTCGGGTGAGGTTGGGTGTGATGGGGTCTCGGAGCCTGGTTCGGGAGAGGACACTGGCTGCATAATTCTGGATGATCTGCAACCTACAGAGGGAGGAGTTGGGAA